ATGAATTCCTATTCACCAAGGTCCCAGATTCGTTGAAAACCACAAGGGTTAGGTGGTTCCGATATTCCAGGTTAACCCAAGGTCAGTGTTATTGTTGCATTCACAACGGGCAATGGAATAAAAACGTACCAGGTTATAATAGATTTGAACTCCGATTTAAAGCCTTAAGGAATTATACTCACTGTACCGGACAGTTTTGGTTATCTAGTGGAGGTGGGCACGGGAATAAGACAGGTATTGAAACTTTGGATAACAAGACCACAGTGCAAGAGATATATGGAATTGTTCCCATGTTGCAGGCAAATTATTCCGGGATAGGGAGTATATGTGGGCATATGAAGTTAACGGATCCGAACCTGTGGTTCTTTTGGGATAAATGGGCCTCCAATTACCATCCAGGGTTTCCGCAGGGAGCTTGTGTAGGGATTGGATTCTTGACCTTCCCCGTTCAAGTCTTGCGAAAACCAGGCCGACTAAGAAGGGATGTGAAGAACATAAAAGGAGACTCCAATGTGGGCCCTTTGGGACCCGGTTGCAGTGATACTGTTTACATTGGAAAGCAGCTTTCAGAAAGTGATGCTTCACGGGTTGGGGGAGGAGCAGTAACAGGGATACTTACACTTGAATCATACCCGGGAATAGTAGCCCAAGAAAATCGTGCTAGTATTTTAGGCTTAACTTGTCGCCTCGAAAAAGTTGTAAATGCTACTGGTCAAATTATTAGGGAACTACAAGAGGAGATTGAGGATCTGAGCCAAGTCCAGGCTCAACACCGATTAGCCATTGATTATCTACTAGCAAAGACTCATACCAATTATTGTACAGTGGTAGGAGATAAGTGTCACGTTACCTTCCAGAACTTAAACACCACCATCGAACACCAATTAGAAGATCTCTCTAAAGTAATACAGAATAACAAGCAGGGCAGCAATCCCTGGGCGTGGCTGACGGACTGGATCCCATGGGATTGGGCCTGACAAGCATTTATGCTCTTATTGCTCATAGCTGTAATTGGAGTAGTACTGTGTTGTTGCATACAATCGGCACCCCTCATAATGCAGCGATGTGTGTCACGGTCTCAACCCGAAAGCACTATAATGGCTATGCGTGAAACCACATATGAAACTATAATCATAGACAGGAGAGATTCAGAAAAGTAAGTAAAAGAAATGGGGGATTGAAAGGGTAAGGGCGTAGTCAGGAATGTTCAGAATCTCTCCTGGAAAGCATCTAGATGATATATGGAAATTCTTAGAATGCTTTACGCTGAACCGCAAATTGCTTACATTACTAAAACTGACTTGAGCTGGCTAAGCAGGAATAAAGATATAGAAATACCAGGCTGGACACGAGGACTACAGAGGTGTGGGGCATGGGAAAGGGAAAACTCTGACTGGAGGAAGATTGTGAGGGAGATCGCCAACTGGTGATCTCAGCCAGTTAGGGGGTATAAAGGTTACTGTGCTGCGACACAGCCTTCGGAGACGACTGGGGGACTGCCCTCCAGGGTCTCTCCATGCTTTGCAAACCACGATTTCAATAAACGCTGTACTTGCTTGAGCCTCCGTGTTAAGTCTCCTGCTTGACTTCGGTCCGGTCACTTCACACGTAACAGGGGGACTCAGTGGCTCCACTTTCCATGACCAGCTTTGAATGGTCGTGGAAGACAAGGAAGGCGGGGGGAAGCATGAGGATAGCTGCTACATCTCTTTACCAGCATTTATAAGTTAATGGAAGCCACAGTCTTGGTCATTCATGTCAATCCTGGTTTATTGATCTTGTGCACATACCTGGAGATACTATTTGTTCAGCTGACAGGTATGTGTTAAGGGATGCTTTCAGCAGCAGGCCTGCTGAGAAGATGCATTTGCTATATACCAAAGGGATGGCTTCTACAGGCCTGGGCTTTTCTGCTCAGATGCCACGTGGATTGCAGAAGGGGCTGCTTTTAGCAGCAGGTCTGCACTTTATAGCTCAGAAGATAATTCATAATTCCCTTAAGGGCTGCTTTTACAGCGGCAGGCCTGGGCTTTTAGCTTGATAATATGGAAGGGGGCCTGGGGGTCACTTTCACAGTGGTGGGCCTAGGCTTTTTAGCTCAAAAGTTGAATTTCATTTTAAGGGCTGCTTGAACATAGCAGGCTTGGGAGTTTTAGCACTTTAATAAGAAAGGGGGGGTTGGGATGTTCTGGCATCCGTGATATTTTATGCACTGTAAGTTAGGAGTTCTGATTTGTGCATTTAAGGAGGTTCACTTGCCCACTGTGACCTCCTTTTCAGCTAATCTGCAGGGGAGCCCGAGAGACACTACTGTTGGCAGGTGGAACCAATGGTGTTAACGTGTGCTACCCCATTCTGCAGACAGGAACACTGGCGGTTATTGGTTTAAGGCAGATGCTCTCAAACTTTTTGAAGTTGGAGCCACTTCTAAACTTAATGTACTCTTGGGACACACTTGCAAAGTAATTCCAAGTAGCTTTCCCCCTCTCCACCATAAGAATCCCACACTTAGCACATTTTGGTGTAGTGGTTAAGTGCACAGACTCTAATCTGGGAGAACCGGGTTTGATTCCCCTCTCCTCCACTTGCACCTGCTGGATGGCCTTGGGCAAGCTGTAGTTCTGACAAGAGCTGTCCTTGAAAAAGAGCCATTTCTGTCAAGAGCTCTCTCAGCCCCGTCTGCCTCACAGGGTGTCTGTTGTGGGGAGGGGAAGGGAAAGGAGTTTGTAAGCTGCTCTGAGACACCTTTGGGTAGTGAAGGGCGGGGTATAAATCCAATCTCTTCTTCTTCTTCTTCTGTTTATTTTTCATCAATAGCATTTACAAATATATAGTACTACTGAGTGACAGGTTGTATTTCAAGGTAATTCTACACATTATGCAGAGGCAACCCTAAATATGCCATCAAGCCTCCCAGAGCCTCCTCTCCAACTTACCCTGTTTCACCTCCTCCTTCCTGGCCTTGTGATTAACATGTCAGAGAGCCACAACCCACTTTAGGGTCCTGACTCACAGTTTGAGAACCAGTCCAACGCATATTTTATTTATTTATTTATTTATTTATTTATAAATTCAGTTTATAGCCCACCCTCCCCGCAGCACAGGCTCAGGGTGGCTCACAATCAGGCACAAGCCTCACATAAAACAATTAAAAACATTTAAAATCAATCAACAGATTTCGACATTATTAAGTGCTCTCAATGTTCAAATTAAATTACCATAAAGATGGCTTATTAATGCTGTTATATCCACTCAGTGCCATCTGTTCCGCTTAGTGCTATCGGTCTTTCTTCCAGGGCCAGATCATAATGATGGTACAGTAGTGGCGGCTCCTACTCAAACGCCTGGCGGAAGAGCTCCGTCTTACAGGCCCTGTAAGGTCCCACAGGGCCCGAATCTCCTCCAGGAGCTCGTTCCACCAGGTAGGAGCCGCCACCGAAAAGGCTCTGGCCCTGGTAGCAGCCAGCCTGGCCTCCTTGGGACCTGGCATAGCCAGGAGGTGTTGCGTCCCAGATCGTAGTGCTCGCGGGGGAACATATGGGGAAAGGCGGTATTTAGGTATAAAATATGGCGGGCAGCTTGAGACATCCAACAATGGGTATGATTTCCCAAGCCAGCCTTTCATGGCTGACCAGATTTAGGGTGGTTGTGGGGGATCCCTTCAGTGCTTTGCCTCTACTGGTTGAAACAGAATGACTTTCAACTGGGGGGGGGCAGTGGGCAATCTCATGCTGCTTGGAATTCAGGCATGCAAAGTCCAGTTCCTGCTGGCCAGAAGCATTTAAAGGGTCCCTTTAAATGCTTCAGCGGTGCCATGTGTGCCTGAATTCCAAGTGGTGAATCGCTGCTTGGAATTCAAGTGTGTGGCCCACAGCCGCCCCTCTCCCTCCCCTCTGCAAGATTTAAAAGGCCCACCAGCTGATCGGAGGGCCCTTTAAATCTCTCAGGAGAGAAGGGAGAAGGTTGGCTGTGATTGGGCTTGGGGTGGGGCTTGGGGGGTGGGGCTTCTCCAACCAGCCAACTGGCTGGCAGTGGGCTGAAGCCCTGAAAATCAGGGAAACCTCCACCCAGACCAGGGGTCTGGCAACCCCATTTCTTTCTCTAGAATGACTTGATCATCTGCATCATCCTGCCAAGTGATAAGGAGAATTTATACATCACAACAGATGCAGAGTTACATGAACAGCATGGTTTTATCACCTGATGAATTATCATGTGTTTTTGTACTCTCTGATCTAATGCTTGGCAGCTAATTTTAACTGCCAGGGGGGATTGCAATTGTTTATTTGTTTTATATGCTGCATAGAGCACCATATCCCAGAATTCTCAGCTGCTATCCCATCCACCTAAGGCCAGGCTTAGTCCCACTATTTAATTTTAGAAATGAAACTACATCAGGTGTATTCTCATCAATTTTAGTCTATAGGGCTGTTACAGTATCACTTTCCGTTCACAAAAATCCTTTGAAGTATTAAATGGCAGGCACCTACTGAAAAAGAATTTTGTTTTATCTCTTTGTGAGGGGAAAAAAGATGCCTTCTCTGAAAAACTGCATTTGAACTAATTGCCAAGCTGTGCTGTGTTAGCAGCAACTTTGAAAAGATAGTTTAAATACATTACATACAAGGATATTTGATTCAGGGTATTTTTCCTTTGGTTTTTTAGTGTTTGGTTTGATTTTCTTGTCAGACAAAAAGCAGAACCAGGTATACTGAGCTGCTGATAAGTGGATGAGGGAAATACTTCCAAATTCCATAATAACATTTCTTAAAAAACTAAAGAATGCTAGATTGCTCGTAAATAATGCTTGTGAAGCTGAAGATAAGGAATTTCTTAGACTGACCCTTCCATATTGGAAACCGTACTAGAAAACCTTATATTACTAAAACTGAATACATATAATATTAAGCATGTATTATCAAGGAGACTCAAACAGCAGTTCTGGGATTTTGGCTGGACAAGTAATTCCAAATCATACTATCACAACCTACATTACATACCCGAAAATGAAAAATTCCTGCATAATTGTGTTTGAAGTCTTGGTCTTTTGGAACAACATTTCCCAGGAACCGCTGCTGCACAGTCAAAGAGCCCAGCGCTGCTAGAAGCCAGCAATCACCTCCAAGAAGATAAGAGACTAAATGTCATTATTCCCAGTCTTGCACCCAGTCCCAGAAAGAGGGATGGAAGCATCTTTAACCAGGTACCCAAAATAAATTTGCTTTCTTCCCGAAGGAATCCAAACTTTGGAGAAAGAAAGAAAGAAAGAAAGAAAGAAAGAAAGAAAGAAAGAAAGAAAGAAAGAAAGAAAGAAAGAAAGAAAGAAAGAAAGAAAGAAAGAAAGAAAGAAAGAAGGCAAACTGTAGACAGTATCTGAACAATCTTTTTGAGGGCACCAGGTATTATGAGAATTATTCAGTGGGCAGGAGTGTTTCACCCTTCCCTCACTTGCTTATTCTCCCCTACATATTCCCCTGTGAGGCTGGCTTTCCCACCTCAGAGCCAAGTTTGGGGATTAGGGATGCTGTCGATTGAAGCCAAAGTGTTTAGGCTCTCTTTCATGGAATGGACCTTCTGTGATGCTGTTTATCTTGTCTCTAGTTTATTTTTACTGTTTTAAATTATTGCTTGATTTTTAAACTGACAAACTCTTTTTATGGATCCCATGGTTGGTTGGTTTTTTAAAAGCAGTACATCAGTATTTTAAGTTAAATAGTAAAAACATGGCCTTTTGGGTCATTTTCTAAAAAAAAAACCAAACATGGCCTTTTGGGTCATTTTCAGGGGAGACTCTGCAGCCAAGAAAGGGTTAATCAACCTACTCTGGTCTGTTGATTCTCCCCTTTCAGTGTTCCTCTCCTTGTGACTGGGTTGGAAACCTGAGTCCGCCATGTAATGTGTAGATCTGTCCTCATCTCTTAGATCTCAGATGACTCCTTTAATGCCTTCCACAATTTTCTGTCTCATAGATAATTTAGCAGTCACCTTATAAAAAATAGTGATATCTGCTCAAGTGCAGAAGAGCCTGTCCCTGTTCGCAGGCCCACTCTGGATATTCCAGCCAACCCAGACAATGTTGTGGGAGTTGTATGAACATTCTCAGGATGTGTGTCCTGGCCCTTCACCATGATCCAGCAGCACTGAAGTCTTCAATCAGTTTCACCCTCTCTTCATCCTGGTCTTCTCTCCGTTAAGATACCCCACTATCCTTTCTGAACTGCAGGTAACAAAATATGGTTCCCTCCTATCTTTTCCTTTGCAAGGGTGGGGGAAAAACCCTGAAGTGATTTTGAGCAGAAAATGGCAGGAAGGGAAATAGTTAATCAGCCATTTCCCTCCTGCTGCTTGTCTGCTCCTGATTGCAGCAGAAATGAGTCTTTCACTCATCTCCCACACATTGGCCCCCAGCTGTGCAAAAAAGAAAGGACCTGAGATCAGCCTTGCCTGTAAAGTAGAGGAACTAGAGCTCTTAAGGAGCAGACAGGGTTGTGGTGAGTCACAGGCCTATTTTTCCATTCTTTCTGTCCAGTTCTTTTTATCACAAGCTGCCTTGCTGGCATTTACTCCTCAGTGTTCTAACAACGCATCAAATGGTAGATGGGCATGATGGGCCCCTCATCATCATTCCAGACCCATCCTTTCCCCATTCTTTTTGGATCCCTGTTGGAAATAGTGTTATCTCCCTTGCCTCTCAAGGTCCCAAGAGTAGTGTTATCTTTGACTTTGTTTTTCATTCTTCTCGCACATTCAGGCTATTGCTAAATCCCTCCACCTCTCTTTTTAAAACTTGCCTTTCCCTTTCTGCCTCAGCAGCTATAAACCTTTTGCATATCCAGGTCATCTCTCACGTAGACAATTTCAATTTTCTCCTTCCTGGTGCTCGCTTGCATTTACTTGCTCTTCAGCAGGCTGGAATAATTTTCTCTTCCATCACTGTGACCATATGAACCCTTGCTGTCTGTCTCTGCGCCATTTCCCACAGCATGGGCTCCTTTCTATCCCCCTTCAGGTTCTTCAGTGCCCTGTGTTACCTGTAGCTGTTCTCTCACTCCCCTTTCTTTCCTTCCTCCGCTTCTTCACTAGCATGTAACAAACACTGCCCTTTCCTTCACCCACTGTCCACGCATGCTCTCCCCCCCCCCTTGCCACTCCCTGTGCCTTCTGGATTAAGCCCCCATCTCAGCCAAGCCATCTCTTCTTTCAAATCTCTCCTAGTCAAAACTCCTTTTTTTAAAAAAACAAAACATTTCCTTCACACATCATAGATTTTTCTGTTCTGAACTACACTCTCTCTGCTACAAGTAGATGCTCTGCCACCTTTTCTACTGTGTTACCAGACCCGGGATTTTTTTCATCTTTCTCATAGTGATGGCTTGCTTCCTGAATTGAAGCTGGGGGCACTCAATTAAGCATGATCTTTTGGTTTCCTTTCAAAACTAGTGGAGCTTTGGATGTCTTGAGTCATATCTTTGGATGTCTTGAGTGATATCTACACTTACATCATGTTAGGTAATGCAGCAGTCCTATTCATAGGGCATTGCATGTGGTATAGCCAGGAGATCTGAAGATTGTCTGGCAGCCTTAAGTTCTAACTCTTTTGTGGTGAGCTGAACTTATTTTGAGAGTGCTGAGAGAGCTCTGAGAGCTGTGACTGATCAAAGGTCACCCAGCTGGCTTAATGTGGAGGCGTGAGGAATCGAACCCAGTTCTCCAGATGAGAGTCCATTGCTCTTAACCACTACACTATGCTGGCTCTCTACAGAGACCACTGGGTGGGTGGGTGGGTGGGGTCATCATCACAACCACTAGGCATGCTTGCTCCTGACCTCTTTGTGTTCATCAGAACTTCTCTACATGTGTAAACTTGGTTCAGGCATTTTAATGTGTACGGGGAAGGTGGAATGAGGCCAGCAGGCATGATTCCAGTCCTCCTTAATGTGTTCATTGTATACATCACAGTGTATGAACAGTTCTACCAGTGATAAAGATCTAAATATTAGTTAACATCAACAATGATTATGATGATGCTGATTAACAACAACTACAACAACAACAATAATAATAGAGAATCTGGATATTAAATATATTTACAAAGGAAATTACAATAAGGGGCAGGCAGAAATTGAAACCATGCTGAGCTATTGGAAGGGGGATTAGTAAATTGTTTAAAAATAAGTAAATAATGCACAAAAGTATTGAATGTTAGCAATAAGTAGCCACCTGTAGCCTTGAAATAAAATAAATAGCCATTGATTGGTTATGATAGGATGAGAGAACATGTACATGTCCAAACAAAGGTCAGTCAACGGCAAAGAGAATTTTGATCTCACCTATTTTCCCTTGGAGAATATCGAACCTGCTCACATCATCCACGATTAACTTGGGGTTTTCTAGTATATCCTTGAAAAAAGGAAAAAGATACCATGATTTTGACATTTAATAGCAGCCTATACTTCTCTATTATATTTTTTCAGTGAAGACAATTTTCACTATCTCCCTGAGCAATTTCGTGTTGTGCTGAAATTTCAGAACAGGAAGGGTCCCACGTAGATAAAGCCTTCTTCCCTCCCTCCCTCCCTCACCAACTATCTTCCACTGTCTTCTCACATTTTTTTTTAAATCCTAATTTTCAAAAAATTCCTAGGTGGGACAAGCTTGTACCCCAGAGGAGACAGTTTAAACTTTACCCATTCCCAGACCAGCTCCAAGCTACAACTTTGACTACATAGATAAGAAGATAGAACCAATGCATGGAAGGACGATTGATTTAACAAGCTATTTCCTGGATTTTCTAATGCTTTTTTGAAACAAAACAGACTACCCTCACCCAGATTAGCAAATCTGATTGAATGCTTTCATGCAATTGTTGCATGAGTTCCAGGGCTATTTTGGGGCAGGAACGCACAGGAACGGAGTTCCGGCTGGCTCCCAAGTTGGCCATGCCCAGCAGGAACTCATTAGCATAATAGGCCACACCCAACAGCAGAAATCCATTAGGATTGGCTTCATTAGGGTTGTGTGGCCTAACATGCAAAGGAGTTCCTGCTACAAAAAAAGCCCTGGGTTTTCACAACAAACAAGGCAAACAGAATAAGAAGCAAAAGGTGGGTGTGGCTGGATAACCACACTTCTGGTAACATGGGGGTGCGTCCTAATGTGCTAATGAGCTGTGGTGGCAGGGGTGTGGCCTAATATGCTAATGAGTTTCTGCTGTTGGGTGTGTCCTATTATGCTAATGAGTTCCTGCTGGGCTTTTTCTACAAAAAGAGCCCTGATTATTGAGTTCTTTCACTATAGAACAAACTGGAGGAAACTGACAGTGTAATCCTACAAAGTTACACTTTTCTAAACTCATCGAGTTCCATGGATTTAGAAGACTGCAACCCTACTTAGGCCTGTACTGTGAACACGATTATTTACAAGGATGATTTAAGACTATACTCCCATTTGGTAAACAGAGATGTCAAAAAGGTGTATAACCCACATATCTGGCTGAAATGCTGGTGTTTGCTTTTGTTTTCTGTTGGGGCACAATTTTCATAAATCTGTGTTAACATTTGCCTAGATGGTGATGACACTGAGATTCAGTAGATCCCGAGTTTTCTTTTATGGTCTGGCATGATATTGCATCATAAAATGGAACAGATTAATAACTTGTGTCTGTTTATTAGCTTTGAGATTACTGGGGTTATCCAACTGAATCCCAGCTTGGACAAACAGCTATCCAAGTTTACACTTGACTCATGTACTATGAAAATCACAGCCACATCTTAAAAGGCCATATATGCTAGCCTATATCCTCACTGATGCATGAAACTGCCTTATATGGAGTTCAGCTATTGGCCTCCCTAACTCAGTAATGGCTACTATGACTAGCAGATAGGGATGGGCATGAATGAACCACAAAAATACGGTTTGATTTGTGGGCAAACCACAAACTGAACCATGAACTCCATGAACCCAGTCGGCTCGGATATGAACTGAACCGGGTTTGTGAGGCTTGTGCCCAAAACAGCTGAGCTGCAGGGGAAGCCTGCTCCCGCAGCTGAGTTGTTTTGGGCTGCCCCCGTGGCTCAGCTGTTTAAAGGGGCTTTCTTGGGTAGCTACCCCAGAGGCTGGCTGCCAAGTAAAGCCCCTTTAAACAGCTGAACCACACAGAACAGTTTACTCCCAGTGGCTCAGCTGTTTAAAGGGGCTTTCTGCTCCACACAAACCACCATGAACCGCCATGAACTGCATCAAAATCTGTGAAAATTCATGGTGGTTTTTCAGTTCCCAAACATTGCTTCATGAATCACAAATCGGCCAAAACTCGTGATGAATTTTAGTTTGTCCACTGGTTCATGCCCATCCCTACTGGCATAAGCTCTTCAGAGTCTCATGCAGAGCAAATATTTTCTTTGCTACACAAGATCCTTCAAATGAACTGTGCCCCCTCCTTATTTTCCCGTGCTTCCTTTGGTACTTCACACTGCATCAGAAAATTCACAGGGGACCCTCCATTTTGGATCTGTGTACACTTGCACGTCTTAGCATGGGCCTAGCAATTAAACATGGTGTCTAGATCAAACTGTTATCAAAATGACAGTGAGGCAAGCTGAGGGCATGTGAGGAATGTGAAGCAACTCTTCTGTTAATCATATGAAAGCCATATTTGGTGGGAGTCAATCGAAGATCCTTTTCCCCAAGGACCTAAGGGGTACCCTCCCTGATAATCTGGCCTTAATAATGACCCAGATAATCAAGACAATCAGTGGGCCAACCCCAGCCATTTCCTCTTTATCTTAAATGCTAGACAGGAAGCTTTCTCCCCCTACTCCATCAAGTGCTCAGCCATCTACTTGCCCATCTAAACTCTCAATCTCCCTAAAGGAATCCTTCTAGATACTTTTACATGTAAAGCAAAAGAAGAAAAACTGTCTTCCACAATGCACACACACACAAAAACCCTTTTCAAACTAACTCATCTCCTGAGAGATGGACTTTTAAGCACTCCTACATTTCAGTGCCAACACCTTTTCCCCTCTTCAGTCTCAGCAAAAATGTCTAAAAAGTCATCCCTCAGTCCATCCAATTCATAGCAGGGTTTGGATCCCACTGTGTTACCCCAACTGTACTTGACCCCCATATACACAGGTTATGGTCTTGACAATTAATACCCCACAACACAAGTGTTTTCTCTTTGCTAGCAAAAGGACAGCACATGTATTATTGGTTTGGGTAACAGGGGGCTCTACAAGGTACTGGTTTGGTACACATAGGTTTCCCCAGTGGGGCAAATAGTTCTCCATGGGGCTGTTTCGGGTCAGGAAAATGGCATGGGAGCAGGCTTAAGTCCATACCCCTGTGTGGTACAGTCCCAATCAGAATCAGGTCCATGTCACTGGGCATGCACAGTTTCTGAGAATACAGGGATGAACTCAGGAAAATATATCATGTAATTAGGCCAACCAAAAGTCCTCCACCTGCATCTGAGCTCTTTGGGACATGGTTGCTGAGAGGTGGAGCATGGCTGAGTAACTAATCTGCTATTCCTTTGTCACACAAAAGAGCTCTTTCCTAACATGAGTGGAAGCTGCTTCCCTGCTGTTGGTACTATCAAGTGAAGACCTGATGTGTTTTTTATGGAGGTCACTAGAGTTTTGTGCCCTCAGGCCCTATCCACTCAATATTCCTGAAATAAAGTCCATTTGTTTGCTTGTATTCAATCTGCTTAATGAAATGGAAACAACATTTCCTGCCTGCGACTGCTTCATAAGAGAGGTGTCACTGCCTATTCAGCTGATTGAATTAGATGTAGATTTCAGGAGTAATTGATGTCTGCAAAGGAGATGTGGCATTATATTGCCACTCGCTGTATTTCAGCATCTGTAGCACGATGCCCTTTAAAAGGACACAGCTCTCATGGCATTGAAAGTGGCTTTCATTTCCGAGGACACGGCCTGGAGAGAGAAGAAACTTTTCCCTGGTTTTGATTGTCAAGGAATCCCATGGGAGTTTGTTAAACTTTCCTTACAGCATGCAGCACAGCAATGTAATAAAGTCAACTGCTGCTTACTTGCTAGCTCTCTTATTAACCAGGGATGTTTGGCTGGCAGGGTAGTGATTGGCAGTGGATTTCTAAATAAAGTGATACCCTTCTAAATTTATTGATGTTAATCCCATAGTAAGGGGTGTTGGCTACGTGAAATGCTAGTATGTAGGGCGTTGGGCCAAACCACATGTCATGCTGGGGATCTGTGTTTGGATCCTGGGACCAGCATATCTACGGGACCGCCTCTCCTCATATGTGCCCCGAAGAGCCTTGTGCTCTGCAGATCAATACCTCCTGGTAATCCCTGGCCTGAGAAATGTCTGCTTTGCCTCAACCAGGGCCAGGGCTTTCTCAGTCCTGTCCCTGGCCTGTTGGAACATGCTCCCACCTGAGATCAGAGTCCTGCAGGACCTATTACAGTTCCACGGGACCTGTAAGGCAGAGCCATTCTGCCAGGACTTTGGTTAAGGTGGCGGGCGTTAAACCATCTCAGCTTCCCCTGCATTTGGTATCTGCCCAGTGCCTTTCAGATACTGTTTATTACCTATGGGGCACTGTTGTATAGTAGGGAACCTACCACCAACTGCTTAAAAACTGCTATAAATTGGGCTACCTATTACTGTCTGTTTAAAATGTTACAGGAGACATTGGACTGTTAGTGTTTTTGTACCATGTCGCTTTGATTGTTTAAATTGTTCAATTGTTTTTATATTATCGGTTTTATTTTTATTTTATATGTTGTGAGCTGCCCTGAGCCCACTTGTGAGGTAGGGTGGGATATAAATTTAACTATTAAATAAATAATAAATAAACAAATCTTCAGACATACAATTGAGCTGCAAAAAGCAGCTTTGGGGAGGGAGGATTTGACAGGGGAGGCAGCATGGCAAGGAAGGGTTAACACCACTTTCCCCAGCACCACATGTTTGATGGGTTTTTTCATGCTCAATTACATGTCTGGTATCATAGTATATACAGCATAATATATACCATAATGTATTACACCATTGTATATTACATGAATATTGTCCTTAAGTGTAAAAGCCATAATGGTCATGCTCCTTCTTCTCTAAGAATTCACCCCATGGAAAGTGCTTGCCCACTCCAGAACCGCTGATTTCGGGAGGGGTGTTGAAAGACCTGAGTCAGATTGAGGTGACGAGAGAGGAGGTCCTATGACTGATAGACAACTTAAAAACTGATAAATCACCAGGACCAGATGGCATACATCTGAGAGTTCTGAAAGAACTCAAATGTGAACTTGTGGATCTCCTGACAAAAATATGTAATATTTCATTAAAATCTGCCTCCATTTCTGAGGACTGTAAGGTAGCTAATGTCACTCCCATCTTTAAAAAGGGTTCCA